GACTTGCAGCTCAAGTTGATCGGCAACTGCCTGCTGGCCTCAGCCTTTGTCGGCTATATCTCGCCTTTCTCAATGTCGTTCCGCGTGCAGCTGTGGAAAGAAGGATGGACTGGCGATGTCACCAGCCGCGGGATTCCGATCAGTGCAGGCATTGACCCCCTCAAGGTGCTGTGTACCGAGGCGGACATCGCCAGCTGGCAAAACGAGGGGCTGCCGTCTGACCGCATCTCCGTCGAGAATGCTGCAGTGGTCACAAGCTGCTCGCGATGGCCGCTCATGATCGATCCGCAGCTACAAGGTGTGAAGTGGATCAAGCAGCGATTGGGCGAGGACCTTTCCGTGTTGCAGTTCACCATGAACCAATGGTTACAGAAAGTGATTTTTGCGATTCAGATGGGTGGCCAGCTTCTGATTGAAGCAGTCGGCCAGGAGATTGACGCTATCCTAGAGCCTGTCCTATCCAGAGCTGTGATTAAGCGAGGCCGAAGTGCGATGATCATCAAGATTGGAGGTGAAGAGGTGGACTACGATCCCAAGTTCCAGCTCTACCTGCAGTCGAAGCTGCCAAACCCACACTACAGGCCGGAGATTGCTGCTCAGTGTACGATCATCAACTTTATTGTCACACCGGATGGTTTGGAGGACCAGATCTTGGCTATGGTCGTGAATGTCGAGAAGCCAGAGCTGGAGCAGGAGAAGCAGGAGCTGGTGCGTAGACAGAACGATTTCAAGGTCACCCTGTCTCAGCTTGAGAGCGATTTGCTGTCCCAGCTTTCCACCGCAGATCCTGCGACAATTCTTGACAACATTCCTTTGATCGAGGGTCTGGAGAAGACCAAAGCCACCTCCAAGGAGATTGCCATCCAAGTAGAGCAGGCTCAGAAAACAGAGGTAGAAATCAACACGTCGCGAGAGCTCTACCGTCCTGTCGCTGCGGAGGGTTCTATGTTGTTCTTCTTGATCATTCAGTTGTGCTTCATCGAGCACATGTACCAGTTTTCTTTGGATTCCTTCGTGAACTTCCTGTACAAAGCCATCGATCGCACAGAGCCCACTGACGACATCACTGAGCGCGTGAAGCGGCTGATTGCTGTCATCCGTATGACGATCTTCCGCTGGGTGAATCGTGGACTCTTTGAGCGCCACAAGCTGATCTTTTGTTCGATGCTCACCTTCAAGCTGTTCCAGAAGGGGTTCTTGCAAGAAGATTTCAACGTGTCCTATTTCAACTACTTGCTCAAAGCACCGTTTGCTGTAGGCATGGAAAACCCACTGTCGGATTGGCTGCCTTCAAAGAACTGGGGCATGATTCTGAAGCTCAACGACTTGGAGGGTTTCGAGAGCTTCGCGCAGAACATGGAGAAGGATGCCCCCAACCGCTTCAAAGAGTGGTTCAATGAGATTGCGCCAGAAGAGGTGAAGTTGCCATTGGATTGGAAGCGACTGGACTCTGTACCCTTCCAGAAGCTGTTGGTTCTCAGAGCCTTGCGACCCGACCGGTGCTGTGCTGCCATGGCAGAGTGGATTCGCAATGCGTTGCCCAATGGTCGAGACTACATGGACTGCGACGGCTCCCTCTCCTTTGCGGCAGTCCTGAGCAACTCCTTTGAGGATTCTACCAGCACTACGCCCATCTTCTTCATCCTGTCTCCGGGCGCCGACCCTGTCAAAGAGGTGGAATCGATGGGCAAAAAGAGGCCAGAAGGCTTGAGCCTGGGTCAAAACTATTGGAACGTCGCCATGGGTCAAGGACAAGATGTCGTTGCTATGGGCAAGCTGGACATCGGACACCGCGAAGGGCATTGGGTGATGTTGCAGAATATCCACCTCATGCCCAAGTGGTGTGTGGAGCTTGAGAAGAAGCTGGATGTTTTCGCAGTGGAGAACAGCCATCCCAACTTCCGATTATTCCTTTCGGCAGATCCCAACAAGGGGATCCCGATTGGCATACTGGAGCGTTCCATCAAGCTGACCAACGAGCCTCCACAAGGTATGCTGGCCAATTTGCGTCGATCGTTTGCCCTCTTCCCGAAGGAGGACTTCGAGGACAAGGATGCCAAGGTCAAGTCCATCCTCTTTGCCTTGTGCCACTTCCACTCTATCATGTTGGAGCGAAAGAAGTTTGGTCCCATGGGCTACAACATGATGTATCCATTCTCAGCGGGTGACTTGCGGGACTCTGCCCAAGTGCTGTACAACTACCTGGAAGGTTCTTCTGCGGTGAAGATTCCATGGGACGACTTGCGCTACATCTTTGGTGAGATCATGTATGGAGGACATATCGTGGATGATTGGGATCGGCGCATGTCGCAAAAGTACTTGCTGTATTTCATGCGGGACGAGCTGCTGGACGAGATTGACATGATTCCATATGCAGAGGGCAAGCTGTCCTGGCCTTCTCCCCAGCCTGCACCGCACGAGAGATACCTCGAGCACATTGAGACAATGCCACCTGAGTCTCCGCTCATGTTCGGAATGCATCCAAACGCGGAGATCAATTTCCGAACCACCGAATGCGACAAGGTCTTCGACATGCTCCAGATGCTGACGAATGGAGGAGGCGGCGGAGAAGGTGATGACGAAGCTGCCATGACACCAATGACAATCGCCCAGATGACGTGCGACGAGATCTTGGAAGAGGTGAACGAGAAGCGCTTCCCGACCGACGATGTTAACCGTGGCATGACCACGGAAGACAAAGGCCCTTACCAGTTTGTTTTCCTGCAGGAGTGCGAGTACATGAATGCATTGCTGTACGAGATGGTCAAGGGCCTGCAGGAGACCTTGAACAACAACCGAGAACAACAGCGATAGGTACTGTTACTGCCATCGTTCTAGCACTTGCCGAAGAGACGGGACTGCTTTTGAGTTTGAAGTTCCCTGGCACTTTCAAACAGGAGCTCCAGCTTGGTTTCCGTGGTGAGCTGACCATGAGCGAAAGCAGCTTGTCTTCGTACACCAGACCCGCTTCATTTCTGTGTAGATCGCGCTCTGACCCCTGCTCTCACCCTCGCTGTCTTCTTCTTCCTCTGGCTTACAAGCGCAATTTATCCATAGATCGTTTTATTATTACAATCGATTTTTGTACCTCTCGCGCTCTCTTTTTCTGCATCCGCTTTGCGTCACAATGTTCAGTATTGTCATCGCAAGACCCGATCTGCGGCAAAGCACTTTACAGGAGCGTTACTTGTTTTGCCATGTGCACGTTTTGGAAGGCATGGAAGACATGGCCACGTGCCTGTACTCGGAGAAGCATCCCGGAAGCAGACGAGTAATCGTTGCAGACTCCGTGGCATGTAGTTCGAGCCTCACAGATGTGCTGGTTGCAGCGTCCACCGGTGGAGCTGCAAAGTGAGACTAGCAGACCTCCAGTCAACCCTCGCACAATCTTGGACACCTTAGCCACACAGGCTGCCACATTGGTGGATTAAGCTCGGCTTCGCGTCCACCCGCCCTCTGAAGTCCTGGCGTGTGAACTTGCAGGCGACACAGCTTTGCTGGGCTGGGTGGGTATTGAAGTCTGAGACACACGACAGTTGTGAAATTTCAAAAAGGATCAACAGATAGCAAAAGCTTCGGCAAACAAGACCTGTGAAGCATTTCGGCCGCTGCCGGTGGGAGGAGCGATATGTGCAGCTTGATGACTGGATCAACGACCCGCTCAACATTCCGAAGGCAAGCTGCAAGCAGGAGTTAACAGTATCGATACACACTGGTCAGGTTTTCAGCTGACTGGCTCAGCTTTTTGAAGCTTCCTGAGATCCAGTCGTTGTCGTGCCATATCTTCTCGTGCTCTGTGCAGGTTGTAGACATTTCCAAGCTCTTCAATCCGCAGAGTTACCTGACCGCCATCAAACAGATCACCTGTCAGAATGTGGGTTTGGAGCTCGACAAGCTGCAAGTGCCTTGGGCATGCCTTCAACACACACACAAAGATTTCAGAAAGCTTTCGAGAGCTGGGCAGCATTGCTGAAACTAGCAGGCATCCAAGACTGGACTCAAGCCGCCAGGTCTTCACGGATGTTACGAAGAAGGAGCCCAAGCAAATCGAGGCACCTTGCAAGGACGGAGCCTACGTGCCGCTTGCCTGAAGAACACGTCTTGGCGGCCTGTCGGTTTTGCGAAACCCTGCCAATCTAGCCCCGTGGCTTTTAGAGGTCGGGCATGTACTTGGAGGGCGCTCGCTGGGACATGACCTCCAACTCTTTGGAAGACTCCAAGCCGAAGGAGATGTTCACCGGAATGCCGGTGATCACGTGCAAGGCAGGTGTTCCGGCAGCACCGGATAAAAGGAAGTTTTTTCCTTTCACCGGGCAAGGACATCAGGCTTATGGGCCATTTTCTCGCATCGTCTCTCATGTCTTTGGCACTTGACCTGAAGTTAGGCTGTGACGCCCCCACTTCAGGAATGGCGAGCGACAAAGTGGACAAGAACATTTACGTTTGCCCTACGTACTGCGTGCCAACTCGTCGGCCGTACTTCGTGTTCGCAGCACAGCTTCGCACCAAGGCAGGTTCGCATGTTCTTGTGGCGAGAAGATGTAAGACTGTGAGAAAATGCCAGATCTTCCGCCGGAATGCCAAATATATTGTTTTACCCAGGCGCCATCGGACAAGTGGGTTCTCGCCGGCGTAGCTATGATTCTGGACATCGGCCTCTGAGTCGGGCTGCCATGTGGTGACTCTTCTCGATGCGCAGGGCTAAGCCCTTTGTGCGTAGTATCGAGCCGATGCATTCAGTCCTTGATTTCTTGCTTCTGGGGGGTCATGCGCCTTGCATGGCAGTATTCTGCTCGGCAAATGGCATAGAAGCCAATGATGAAAGCACGTCGCATCTAGCAGACACAGTGGTGCTGATCCCCTTGCAACCTGCCGGACTGCAGTGACCAAAATGCTCGGCATACTGGCCGAAGCTTGCACAGTTCATAGGTCAATCGTTCGTGAACGGTGCTCATCCCGATGTTTCTCCACCTCTTGTGGCTGATTCGAGTGTTTCTAAGGATCGATGCCTATGCAAAGCATGGAGATCTGGCTGCGGCAGAGAGACTGCTGCAGCAAATGAATGCCGCAGGCATCCCCAAGCCTAGGGTCTTGCCAGGATGCTGCACCACTGTCTGTCTCCGGGGAGTTTCCACATGCCTTCACCTGCAATGAAAGCAGGAAAACACAGAAGCCGCATAAGGCAATTCTGCAACAATTCAGCAACAGATCTCGACGAGTGGTTTACGTGACAACTCAACACCCGAGCAGAGGAGTCATCAACACTCTGAAGTTCAGTGGCAACCTCACTAGGTCACTAGGTAGAGCTGGAGCTTGTCGTGCTTTGAGGCCATCTCTCCCTCCCCTATCCTCATTTTTTGCGCACATGTTGCAATCTTCATGTCGTCTAGAGCATGTGGCACAAGATTGCATCATCGTTTGCATTTTTTGTGTGCGTGTGTATGTGTGCGTTGTTCTTCGCATGTCAGTGTGCCCAAAAAATGCCCCTTTGTTCATCGATGAGTATGAAGAACAGAACAGAACGCAAAGCGCCTCCCTTCATCGTTCGAGCTGTTTCGCAGGTATCGCCGAGTCGAGGTGTGATGTATGGAAGTGTTCTGCCTAGGTCCTGTTTGCTAGCAGGCGGCCCGACCTGCACATGTTGGATCATGTTGGATTGGACTCATTTTGAGCTTCCTGATGTCGACGAGGTAGATAGGCCCCATGGCGTACGGGGTGAAGTCTGATGCCGGTCAGGTAGCTTGGTTGTTGTGGTTTGGCTTTTTGTTGCTGTAGCTCAAGCATAGCCAGCCGTCGTATGATGGATGGGCTCTATGGTGAAACAGCTTCTGACCTGCCTTCTTCCCGCACAGACAGCTCGCTTCTAAGTGGGGACGACAGCTTTGCAAGGTCTGTCGACAGTTCGAGGAATGTTGCTGCAGGCTCCCTGATCCCAATTTCGACTCTCTGCCCCGTTCCCCCGTGATCTGAATCAGCCGGGTTCGCTCCGATTCTCCGAGGGGAGATGCTGCTGACCCTGGCAGATCGCCACACCACTGCTGTGAAAACATGGCTCTTGGCTCGCTGCTGAACGCATCGGGCAGCGCCCTGCGACGAAAGTTGAAGTTCTCAACCCAATTGCTCCCACATCCACTCTTGTCCACCGTTGCCTCAGCCTTAACCGATTCTCTTCACGCGTCGGAGCCTGTTTCGCCTTTCTGATCTCTCACAATCTCTCGGAAGCTGTGCCCTGCGCAGAACATCGCAAACGGCAACGCTGTGATGCTTTGCGTTAAGATCAATGAGACAAGAGATCAATGAGACAAGGCCATTGAGGACCCGAAGAGCCAGACACGACTGGCGACTACCGAAACACACGCGACAGAACTGTCGCTGTTCGCTCTCCTCATTGCAGCGGCCCTTCCTCATCAACAGCCGATTGTGCTACTACCGCGCACCAAGAACGGCTGGCGGGACCGGAAAGGTGAGCAAATCCGACCGTACCTGACATTCAACGGCCATCTCAGCCTAAATGGGAGCCTCAATGTGAATGCTCTGCCCCCTCCAACAACTCCTCAACTTAGCGCCTTGAAAGCCTCCTACAAGACCTAAGACCTGTGTAACACCGCAAGGTCCCTGGAATCTGAGGACAGCAACTTTCCGTTGGGAAAGATTCTCGATGAGCTGAGAATGAGTTTGGCGATAATGCGATGTGTGGATTGTCTGCGGTAAGCCATCCCTGCAAGGATTCTCGGGTATGTCGGACCCCTGTCAGTCCGTCCACGTGCTTCCTCTTGAAACTGCCCTGTGTCACCATGTTTAATTGCTTCGACATTTTGTCAAAGTCAGCTATTCGTGTTGAACCCCTGTGCCGTGGGCTGCGATGTGGGAGCCGAGATTTGTTCTACTACTGGGCCAGGTTGCTCTCAGCTTGATTTGGCGCGTTTTTCTCTGTGGTCTTCGACATGCGCCCCTTGGTACAGGCATATCGCCCGACACCATCACGTTTACCTCGCTCATCAAGTGTTGTGCCAAGCTTGGCGATGTGTCAGGATTCTTTGCTGCAGAAGGGTAGTTAGTGTTCGAGGCACCCTTGAGGGCGGTCTTGCTTAAAGGCATCCTCGAATCTTGAGCCTTCAGCAGGCAAGTGTACAGTCGAACGCCAGTTGCCCAAATGAAGTCTGTACGTGTCCTGGTGCAACCAAGGCGCTTCCAAGTGGCTATCAGAGATGCAGCGGCGTGGTCTTGATGCCGATGTGGTCACCTACACGGTGGGTGGCGGGGAGGGGTGCAAGAATGAGTCGGCCCAGCCAGCATGCCATTTGGAAGGTGTTGCTGTGGAAGTTTGGTGACGCCAGGCCATTATCCATGCCTGTGCAAAAAAAGGGAAGGTTGAGGAGGCGATGCTTGGCAGATGTTACTTTGACTCGCTGGCTTCTTCGTTGAGTGACCCAGAAGCAGGGAAAGCCTTGGGTTGCTCAGGATGCAGTGGATGGAGCACATGCAGAGTTCCGGCCTCAAGGCTGAAGCACTGACTTGGTCGGGAAGTCAGGTGATCCTCCTTACACGTGATACAAACGCATACAAACGCAGGTGTTTGCGAGCCAGGCATTGCACATGGCAGTAATGTGACCTGTAGCAGACTGTAGCAGTAGACCTGCAACGAGCGGTCTCGGAGTTTGCCGAAACATGGAATTGCGTTTGGCATGAAACGATGGAATGGACAGGCGGACTGCGTAGCCTGGGCAGCGCTGATCAATGCGTATGCAAAGCGAAGCGATGCCACTGGGGCGCTGGCTTTGCTTCGTGAGTTGGCCGCCTCTGGACTGCAGCAATCCGTGCCTCCCATTCAGATGCCGACACCATTGCGAAGAAACCATGTCCCTGTCCTGGTCGGATTTTGACCTGTGCCGCCCCCCAGAGGCAGTGGCAGCAGTCCCCCTTTCCGTTTCTTCCGCGGTCATTCGACGTCGTTTCGGAAAGGGCGTCGTGTCCCAGCAAAGTTGATGTTTTTGGACCTCCTGTGTCCTTGTGGCTGAGGCCCAAGCGTCGGAGCCAAATGTGGTTGCTTATTCTGCTGTCCTGAAGGCACGAGGGCAGCGCAATTCACAATCGCAGGCTGCTGGCAGTAGCCATTTTCCAGATTTTATCCTTTCATTTATTCATGTGGCGCGGCATGCACGCCAACTTCATTCAACTTGCTCGTGCTAGCGTCGTTTGTTATTTTGGGAATGCGTCCACAGGTGGGCGGCGCACGCAGTAGCCCGGAGCAGGCCCAATACCGTGCCACTGATGCTCGCGATGCATGCCCCAACGTGCGAAGGGGAAAGGCTGATGCTCATGATGTACGCCCCTGCCTCGCTACCGGCCCCGTCTCCAAAACACGCACGACACGGCAGCCGGGCGCGCTACCAGAAACGCACGTTTTCCGCGCGTGCCGGGCCGCTCGCCAAAATTGTTAGCAGATGCCAGGGGCCGTGTAGGCTTCTTTTTCTGCCACGTGACATCTGACAAGCAATCTGCTTACGATGCTGGGCGTCCCACGGTCCAGGCATCGCAACAAAAAAGATGAAGTCAAGGACGCGGCCTCTGGCTCCCTTCGACGCGGCCGGGCCCGCCAAGGACCCCCGGCTGATGCTCATGATGCACTCCGTCCCAAGGCTCAGATCAGCACTCTCGCGCCATCACATCCGTAAAACGTGCAGCCAGAGAGTGGCCATAGGCGAGCGGGGCGTTGCGACCCGCGTGGGTCCAGCTTGGTTCAGCTTCGGATCACAAGGCTCACAGTGTGACAGAGCATTAAGCTCTCACCTTCGTACCTTCGAGACTCTTAGCGTTCTCAAAGCATGAACAGTGTTCCCAGATGTTTTTGAGCGCATTTTAGCAACCGGAGCGGCTTGCCCAGGCCGGCCCGAACTCACGAATGCTTTTTGTGAGGCATTGCTGGAAGCCTCTCTTTAATTCTACTATAATTTCGGATTTTTCAATCGGAAAAGTGTTCGGAGCATATTCCGAAAACGTTCCGACAGTGTTCTCTGCTTTTCAGAGCACTCGTGGGATCATGTTTGGAACGCTTGCCAAGGCTTTCGCGAGATCACTCGCCGGAAAAAGTTAAGCCGCCAAAAAGGCTTGGCAGACTGGCCAAGGGGGGGCAGAAACTTCGGAGATCGGCGACTGCCAGGGTCCATCGGTCGTCCATGGGTCCACGTGGTCCTCAGCAGTTTCCAGCTTGGGTCAGGCTTGTTTGGACCTCGGATCACTTGTGGAAGGCTCTTGGAACTCGCCACTTTTGCAGAGTTTTGGTGTCCTCGATTTTGCCGCCTTTCGATCTTGTAACTTGCATAACCTGAAGAAGCCTAACATGATTGACCATCAAGTTCCAAGCCTAGGCTTGTGCATCCTCCCATCCTCGTTCAGGCCTTCGCCCGCACTGCTCAAGCTGATCGTGTTGGGTCGCTGCTTCAGGACCTTAGTGCTTACAAGCAGGTCTCGTCGAGTTGTGACCTGTTGCGACCACCCTCCCTTGCCTGGCTTCAGGAAATGCAGGGCTTAGCCGTGACTCCGAACCTCATCACTTGGACCTCAGCCATCGAGGCGTGTGCGAAGAGCCAGCCAAGGTGGGGAGATTCGAGCGCAGACGGCCGGGGGGGGCCTGCGTTCCAGAGACGGTCTTTGCAGGCGCCGCGAAGAGGCAGAGGATCTTCTGCGCCAAGCGATCAAATCTGGGCTGAAGCCTGATGCAAAGCTCATCCGCCCCTCGCCCGTTTGGCATCACCGACGAGTGGGCTAAGACAATGCAGGTGGAGGCCACAAGTTGCGTTTGAGCCTTCTGAGGCACTATGATGCGCGCCGTCGGTGCACCTCGCTGCATGAGCCTGTGCCGGGAGTTGGGCGCACCTCGGCTAACCTGCGGCTACCGTGCAGCCCGTGCGATTGCGTGCCAGTTGCACGCCAGTTGGGTGCCAGTTCGCGGTCTTGTGTCTTCTCTTGGAGGCCACCGAAGCTGCAATGGACGTTTTTGCATCATCGCTGCTGTCTGGTTTGCCTGAAAGTGGTGAGCACACGGAAAACGGGCGTGAACACTGGCTTTCTGCCATGCAGTCTTTCTTGCCTGCAGCAATAAAGCGTAACGTGAGGAACAGGAAGCAACCACAGCTATAATTATACATATCCAACACGTGTGGAACCGCCAAAGCATCATCACTCCAGGTTCACTCTGCAGGCCATCTCGGCTCGCAAGAAGCGTGCCGATGAGTCCAAGGAAATGCGGGTGTCCTTGAGGGCCGAACGGTCGGGGCCTCGCGGCCTCGTGCTGCATGAGAAACAAAGCCACTGCTCGGATCAAGTGTTGTTTGGCAGCCAGCTCCTGGCTCAAGTTTCTGTGGCTTCAGATCTTGTTTCCTTGTTTCGCGGCGATGTGGTCATGGAGCGTGGTGGAGAGGGACTTGAAAGTCACGTGTATTTCGGCAGGACTAGTGCTAGAATCACGAGCGCCATGCCGACGTCCAACGAGTAAATTCTGTTGGAACTCTTCAGATCTGAGTTTGCAGTCGTCGCTGAACCTATCCCCGGAAGGATAGTTCGCTGAATGCAACTTAAATCGTGCATCCAAAAGAAGCGTCTAAACTTTGTTCTGAACGGAAACTGTTTTACACACCCAGCTTGAGGATGCACTGTGTTGTGTGCAAGTAGCAAGGTTCAGATTCAAGCTGTCCAACTGGCTCGTGGCTGCTTTGTCGGCCGTGTTTTGAGATGTTGCTGTTGCTCTTTGACTGTATCTGCACATAAGCATATCGGCATAGACAGGGTTGACTTCGCTGGCCTGAGGCGCAGCAAGTTGAACAAGTTGTGCTGGGAGAATGTCGGGCTGACAACAGACGGCCTGGTGCGGGTGGAGGCAGGTCAACGTTGATTCGACTGATGGGCTAAAATTCGGACGCGCTTCCATGTGCGTGCAGCGCAGTGTAGGTTCAAAATGCTGACGATCTGCAGCAAATTGTCACGCTGCTGATTCGCAAAGTGCTGGCAGAGCCTTACTTCAGCCACTACGTTTGCACACTAGTCTCTTCTTTTCTCTCCCACGCATGGGACGTGGGTGGTGTCTCTCTTTGATCTAACAGCTCCAGACTCCAGACTCGCAGTGTTGGTTCTTTGTTCGGTGTGCAAGATGAGGCGATCTGTACGCAGAGCTGGTCTCTTGGCTTTGGAACAAATACCAGGTCTTCCCAGCTGAAGGCGACATGAAGCCCCACAGTTTTGCCCGAATTTTTCTGAACACTGTCCAGGCCGAGTTTGAAGATTTGTTGGCAAAGCTGGAGTCTGGTCAAACAGGTCTCTTCACGCACAACACCGAGTTGGAGCTGGGGGTTGAGACGAAAAGGATAAGTGAGACGCTGCGGGCTCTCATGATGTTTATGGGGCATCTTTTTCTGAAGCAGCTACTGGCATTACGAGTTCTGGATCACGTTGTTGAAGAGCTCATTGGCCTGGACGATGCGGCGCGGCCCTGGCCGGAAGGGTATCGCATTGAATGTGTCTGCGAACTGTTTCGCATTGTCGGGTGCAAGCTGGATGAGACCGCGCGTGGGACGGAGATGTTTAGCACGCTTGCTTGTAGGTTGCGGGAGATTAACGCCAAGTACCAAAGCCTGGCACAACCAGTTTGCAGCAAGCGAATCGATTTTCTCATTGACAGCTTGTTGCGGATACGTGAGAATTCCTGACAGCCTGGCAGATTGACTATGGCAGATGCACGTACGAGCAGTCAAGCACGTACCCGTTCAGCAACTCGTATATTTCGAGCATTCGGGAGCATTCAGTCTTAATTCGCGGGAGGTGTACATGAAATTCTCACAAGGGCATTCATGCGGAGGGTCCAAGTCCGGAGTCCTGCCCGAAGCTGTACATAGTGACAAAGAGGCCGTTGCACCCGAGTCCCTACTGGGACTGAGCGGCTCAGTTTCGCATCTGATGGGACTGTGGCTTCGAAGCTGTCTCAGCTCATGGTCATGTGGTGATGAGAATCGAAACCGCCGGCCTGCAAGGCGGTTTGCCCAAGCATCGATGGTTTCTTCCAGACAGTTGAAGCGATTCAGAGTTTGCAGGATGGATTGACTGCCACAGCCGTCCAAAGCATGCCGTTTGCAGCTGAGGCCCTGGCTTGAAAGCCATGGGATGCGGCTGTTCTGTTTCGGCCGTTGGCCCGGCTCCATTGACCGGGTGATTTTGGGGCATATGAGCTCAGCTGTGTTTCAGCGTTCCAGTGTCTTTTTTGCTGGTGTTTGGAGCCGGCTAGACTTAGGCTGACCGAAATTCTCAACTTCGTTGCTGATTCTGCTCTAGCTGAAGGGAGCCCATTTTGCGTGATTGATTACAAGGTGCGTGTGTGTGTGTGTGTGTGTGTGTGTGTGCGTGTGCGTGCATGTCCTTTGTTGGATCTCCGTTCGTCGGATGTATTTGGGACTGGGACTTTGAGCAAGTCGCTACAACTCGACACTACACTGGAACAATGCTGCGCTCAGAGTGCAAGGTACGGTTCATGCAACAGCCCCTCGAGGAATTCAGCAGTGCAAAAAGAGCCAGCTTGGGCAAAGCTGCGGGGAGTCATGCTGTACACTGCCAAATCTATGTTGATGGCATGCCAGGCGGTTGAGCCTGTAGAGCTAGCGCCAACCACAGGGCAGCCCGGGGCCCAGTTCGTCTTTCGTCTTGTAGGCTGTGTTTTCAAACAAAATCAAGGAAGTGTAGGCCCTAGGCCAAGCAGATCCTGCACAGCATAGGAAGAAAACTCGGGAGAGTTAAGGGGATTTGTCTGCCGCATGGCTGCTAAGGTTTTTTCAGACCTTCAAGCTGGGGAGAAAGCTTGGCGAGGGCGCGTTTGGACAAGTTCGCCTCACAACTCGGCCCGCGGTGCCGGGAAACGGATGCCGCTTTAGCATTGAGAAGCAAAGATCAATCGGAGCCTGAAGCAAAGCCGCAGCAGATCGGTACTGTGGATTTTCATGTCTGGCAGCCCTTGCCGAGCTCCTAGGATCAGCTAAATCCAAACTCCCCATGCTGGGGCCTTTTCCGTTGCAGGATCAACACCGGTGAAATGTACGCTGTGAAGATCATGGACGTGCGCCGGTCTGGGGATGAGCCTCAGCACTGCAAAGCACTAAATGATTTGACACTTGAAATTGTTCACTCGTGCGGCCTCGGAGTGCCAGATGTTGATTGTGTTGGGAATGCTCTAGTTGAGTTGCTTGCCCTGCCCGGCCGAGGATGCGACTATGGACGTGCAAATTCTGAAGCCCGGGCCCTGTTAGTATCCTGGTGCGTGCTGGGAGGCTGCAGAGAGGCAGTGTCTTTGCAAGTCTGAATCATGGACCGGATGTGTGGAGACACGTGAACGGTAGGTTCTGCCGTTTGCCTTTGCAGCTTTCGTGGTCGGTTTGGCCGTACTGCTAACCTCCCCAAAAGGCCTTGCAGAAGTTGACTTCTGCCGCTTGTTGCGCTGGCAGGGAGGCACGGACGGAGTCGCAGCTGCTGGGCCAAGTTTCCGGGCATCCGCATGTTGTGGCCCTGCGTCCTGGCAGCAAAGCAGGGTCTGTGAACTTGCGATTCAGCTGGCAGAAGTTCAGTTCTAGCCTTGCTCTGGCAAGATGGAGACCACTTTTGTTCTTGTCGAGCACACTTCGGGTGGTTCCTGAGGTATGAAACATACCTGGAAACTCCCGGCCTGTTCTACATGATCATGGAAAGGCACCGGGGCAGCTCATCAAACTGCAAGCATGCTGTGGAGCTTCCAAGTTGAAAGCAGAGGCTCGCAATTTGGACACGAGCGAAAGACGCAAGTAAGAGCTGAAACTTAGTTGGCTCTCAGTCTGTTTGCAATTGGAAAGGTGCTACGGCTCGCTGATGGACAGTCTGTGTGACATGCCGAAACTCACGGAGACAAATCTCCGGCGCATGTTTCGACTCTCGGACACAAGACGGCCGCAGGGGATGCGGGGGTGTCTGTAAACATGCTTTTTGGACTCTCATTCCGCAACCAAATGGGACAGCTTCGTCAGCTTCCCGAAACTTGCGCATCGCTTCTCTTCTTCAGGTCAGATGCTGCTTGGCATCGGTGCATGTCACGCCGCCCAGATTGTTCATCGCGCTTCGGCTGCCAAAGGTACACCTGTGCCTGGAGAACAGCTCTTTGTTGCGGGGGGTTACGAAGTGTGAACAGGCAGTTTATGGTAATTAATCGGCTTGCGAATGACTGCTACGTCCGTACAGCCAAGGAGACATCAAGTTGGACAACTTCCTTTACGGGGGTGAGAGGCATCATCTGTTGCAGCCGGTTTGCATGTCACAGACCTACGGAGGCCACGCAGGCAAGGAATGCCTCTTGTGCGACTATCTCACAACTGCGAAAACAAGCTGCAAGATAATGGACTTCGAGACAGCACCACGGAGTGTACACGGAACGTCCATGGGAGACTCTGAGGGGCTTCAGGAGAGCCAGGAGGCCCCTTGTGATCGACGAGAACTTCAACAAGCCTCAGTCTCATATCCATGCAGCGAAGGGCTTCCAGTGTCAACGAGAGAGTTGTCAGGACTGGTTGCATTCCCGAAAACTCAAAAAGCCAGGCACTGCAGCGCTGAATAGTGGCTAGGGCTCGGGTTGACTCCGCAGGTGCCGCACGATCAAGCTCTCGGACTTCGGTTTGGCAGTAAGACTCCCGAGACGAGGAGCTGTTAAAGGCGCCAGCTTGCCCGGGTTACGGCTCCCGGGGTTCCTCCTGCACTCCGCGGCATTGCGGACCTGTTGTCTCTAGCTTGCGGTTCTGTCTCCCTCCTCTCCGTCCATCGCGTGGACTCTTTTGCATTTTGCCACGCTTGGGGCCGATACTGTAGTGTGCCCCTCACATAAACTACAAGGCCTGTACATCCGTCATCGATGTTGCCGCGTAGTAGACGAGTCATGCCTAAGCGTCGGTGCCCGCATCCCTCGACCATGGCTCCTGACATCTCGTGAGGCACCTGTCAGCCTGTGGCTTGTCCGGTGTGGCCCGTACAGGTGTGTCTGGAACCGCGCCCTACATGTCGCCGGAGATGCTGGGCAGAAAGAAGTATGACACCAAGACAGACGTGTGGTCCTTTGCTTCCACAGCGCAGCTTCGGATGAATTAGCATTCCTACAATGCGTTCCGTGATACACATTGTGCCAGACTTTCGGACCAGTTCTGCAGTTCAGCTCATGGCCATGTGGTTCCAGACACTGTTTCGTCAAGTATCGGGTTTGTGCCAGAGCTACTTAGCTTTCTGCGCATGAGTTGCATTGCTCACGGCTTGGTGGCTTAAGGTGGCTTTCAGAATGCACTGCCATGGTATTCCAGCTCCGATGTTTCGCGAGAGAATTAGTAGCAATCAGTGACTGACTATCTCCAAAAGCTGAGCCTGGCTGCGTGTCTGAGGTATGTGATCTTGTATGGCGATGTGCCTTACTCACCGGCTCAGCCTTCTGCTCCTGCGGTGAAGAAGGACTGGCTGCCACGACGAGCATGCCGCAGGTTAGAAGCTGTCCGATGAGTGCAGTCTGGAAGTGAATGTTGAGTGTACCGCAGTGTGCGGTATGCGGATGAAATGTTGCAACCCCTCGATAGCGAGCAGGTAGATACATTTGTCAGTTCCAGCAGCGCAGCTTACCAACTCTGCCTTCAAAAAAGGCGATAGTCCTTGCATATCCACCGCCCACTTGGGCGGCTTGGCGGCCAGCTCGGCAGAGCACGGATGTTGCAAAGCCTGTCATGTCTGACAGGTTGATACAGGTTGCATTTTGTGGTTATCTCCGTTAAGCCTCGCTTTGCTCGCCTGTTGTGCCAGGCCTGTTGTTCACTGCATATCGCTGCATTGCTGTCCCTCCTGAGGACACTGTAACTGTATGCCAGCTCAGGCAAGGAATGAGAAGTTGGCCAAGCGTTACAGCCAGCCGAGCGAAGGTCCGGGAAGGGCTGTTGACAGTTGACAGTGAAACGGAGCGCCAAGCCGCTAAGCTATAGCCTGCGACCTTAAGAAATCCGCAATCCTGGTCTCGTCTACGACGAGGTGCCGAGCACTTCTGCCGCTTCTTGTTGCTGGGCCGGCGCATATGCTTTGCTGCAACCTGCGCTCACGTTCTGTGCATGTGCCCTGTCGCCAGCGGCGCTAGCGTCGCTAGCGTGTTCACAGGTTAGTTCGAGATCCGTCGCTTCGGCCTACCGTCCAACAGGCTTTAAACCATGGCTTCTTGCAGGCAGGGGTTTCTCTGCTCTGCCCTGTGCCCGTTTCTAGACAAGCAGCCAGGACGTTGGCGACGAGGACATTTCAGAAGCTGACGAGGCTCGCACAAAGCATTTTAGCCTGCCGTTGTATTGTGGCATGGCCGAGTCGCATCGAACCACCCAAGGACGAAGCCGAGGAGTCGTTGATCGAGAACCCGGGCGAACAAATACGAACGATCACCAATTTGCTCCTTCATCTGAAATTGCTTATGCATTAGTACTTGCTGGTCTGTTGCTGCTTGTGGCTTGAAGTGTGCTTCTTTCTTCCTTTGAAGATTATGGTGCAGCTGACTTGACTGCACCAGCATTCTGATCTTGGCTCAACGGTTCCTTGCTACTCGGTTTTCTTCTCGCACGCCAGGGTAGCAGCAAAACAGGATGGTCTGGCGAAACAACGGTGTACCACCAACAACCCGGCCCCCGACAACACA